AAGGCCATTAGTGCGTCTTTACATACAGTGTCAGAGAGAAGGCCAATAGTGCGTCTCAAAGTCACAGTGTCTAGAAGAAGGCCCTGAGTGCGTCTGCTAGATACACCTATCGGGGATAAACGAAGGCCGCAGTGCGTCGTTTATTCGCAACCCAAGTATAGGCAAAAGATCGATCCGTCATCATTGGTGTTTTCATTGAGAGGTGTTGATCGATTTTTTGTCTATCTTATCTTTTTATTTTTTTCGGTTTGCCTTTTGCTGAGGGGCCGAATTTCTCTTTATTTTTGTTGGGATTCGAATCTTATTGTTCGAATTTTTCCTTTATTCTTTCGAATTTGAGTCAAAAAAAAAAGTGTCATCTTGTTAGTCCTTTGTTATTTTTTTTGGTTATTACCTTTTGTTAAGGGGCCGAATTTCTCTTTGTTTCGATTTTTTGAGTCTTGTTGGGGGTTCGAATTTTTTGAATTTTTCCCCTATTATTTTCGAATTTTTTTAGAGTCTTAAAAAAAAAAAAATTTAAATTATGTCTTACCCACCGATGGATGAGTTGGACTGGGAAGATCTTGAGATGTTGGAAGGATTGGAAAGAGAACTCACACCATGGGAAGCAACATATCTTGATGAGCTTCATGAGAGGAGTAATATTGAGGAGTATGAGCGTCAACTCATGGAAGCCCGAGAAGCAATGGTGGTTGAGAACAACAAAGAAGAAGGCGAGCTTAACTTCTTAATCCTTGAGGACAAGGAAAGTCTCGAAGAGGAGGGGAATGATACGGAAGTGGTCATCAACCCCGGTGAGTCAGACGATGAAGGTGACGATGGTCTCGTTTTATGGTTGGAGAACATGTTGGAAGAGCCATCAAGTCCAATTGATCGACCATCATGCAAGAGGGACTGGCCAAAGGGATGTGGTCCACGAGCTAAGCTCAAGCCTAGGAGGAGCAAGACCAAACGAGCTCGAAGGATACACAAGGCGAAAGCAAAAGAGGAGAAGTGTTGGTGCAAGCCTTGTGCGAGGAAAAGGCGAGTTCGCAAGATGGTGGCTCGAAAGGGAGGCAAGAGTCGTATGAAAGAGGGTTGGATTTGGCGAGCTGGTGATTGTATCGGGTTGGACGGATGGGACCCATGGCCATCGGGCGAGCCAACGGAGCTAGGCGGCAAAGGGGTCGAGGAGGATCGACTATCGGGCGTGGGGCGCGCATCGGGCCGTGATGCGCGCGATTATGTGACGGGCGAGGCGTCGGACGCGCAGGGGCGCACGGGCGATGGCTGGGAAGCAGGAGAAGAAGCGGGCGTACGCGGGTGCGATCAGGCCACGGGGACGGCTGGGACGCGCGGTGCAGCAGGTGCACGGGGGCGCGCGGTAGAGGATCGAGATGCTGGGGCACTGGGCACGACGCGCAAGGCACGGGACGAGCGCGCGAGTGGCACGGGAACGAGAGACGTGCGCGATACTCGCGGGAGTGGCGAGGACGCGCGAGAGGCGGGTGATACGGAAGTGATCATCAACCCCGGCGAGTCCGACGAAGAAGGTGACGATGGTC